CAAACAAGTTCAGTCTATGCTGTATTTTAAGAATGTGCACTTAGAGAGGTCTTGTTAGATTTGTAAAGACATTTACAAAGCAGTTAGAGAATGATTCATAAAGCAGAAGAGCAGTGATCTGAGTAGTGAATTGATTTAGAAGAAAACTCAGTCTGTAAAAGCATTTACAACTGTCAAAAAGTGGTTCATGAAGCAGAAGTAGTGAATTTACTCTAAGATAAAAGAAAGAACTAGACTATTAATGGCCAAAGCCCACAAGAGAAAGAGAAAACTAGACTATTAGTGATTAAAGTCTGCAGTAACAAAAGAAAGAAAACAAGAGAATAATTCTAAGAATTGAAAGAATAAATTTTGTGTGTCTGATAGATACAGTTATTGCATCTGTCTCTATCAAGAGAACTTGCAACACACTGCCCCAATGAGAGATTTAAGTTATCTCAACATACTGTACATGACTACTGAAAATAATTGTCTGTCATAGTGATCAGAACTTCTTCTCAGAGCTGAGCTCTATCTTTCAGTCAAACAGAGTCTGTTGAATCAGTAAAAGTTTCAGACTGAAGAAAGAGAAAAGTGAAAAGTCATCTCTCATAATCAGATAAATTCTGATCTGAAATTAAGAGTGAAAGATGGCTCATAGTACCATGTTCTGACTGACAAGTTAACAGTCAGGGCAGGGGCCAGAGAAGCAGAAGCAGAAGCAGAAGCAGATACAGTAGACAGAGAAGAAGTTAATGAGATCAACTTTTAGAGAAAGAAAAGCATTAGCTGAAACTCTTAATATCACTTTGTAAATGAGTTTACAAAGCAGAAACTGTCTTTATAAGTCATGTTACAAAGCAACTCAACATATCTTGGGTGCATCAGAGACAGAATCAATGCTTAAGAATGGGCACAGTATAGAAAAGAACACAGACTGAGAATGAGAATGCAGTAGAAATGAATCAGATCAAGAAAAATGAAGCAGTATTATTATTATTATTATTATTCATTATAGTCTTGTGCAGTCTGAGACTATGAAGACTATCTGCAAGCTGTCTTGCAGAATTTAACTAAGTTACAAAAACAATGATCAGAGACATGATCATAGACAAATTAACAAATGAAAAACATACAAGAGTGTCAGGGCAGTGATTTATGTCTTTTCTCCACAGAAATTTAAAAACAAATAATGAGATTGTAAGTGAGATCTTAAAAATGAAGCAGTACATTATCAACAAAAGTTTCAGATCTGGAAGATGAATGGCCACTCTCTTTCAAGATCTGGTCAACTGAGGCAATGGAACTAGTAGTTGAAAAAGAATTGTTACTAGACACAGTAGACACCATTGAGTGTTTCTATCAAGCTTGAATATTAGCACTCTGAATATGCCATCAGCCATGCACACAGAAAAGAGAATTATGGAGTGAGAAAACACTTTGTAAAGAATATTTCAGACTTCATAAAAGTAATTATGAAGCATTAAAAGAAGAAGAAATGAAAGAATATCACTTACATCATCATAATTGAAATCAGACTAACTGAATCATAATGTCTGAAAAGAGATCTCAAAGTCTTCAGAGACATAACTCTCTATTGCATAAATGAAAACTGATGACAATGATGCTTCTCCACTTTAATTTTCTTAAGAAATAGCAGTGGTTGAGAACTCTGCTTCAGATGAAGCAGAAGATTCTGAAGACATCTCTTACATTGTCTCTAAAGAGAGTTTTAAATAATGACTGATTGAAATTTTAACTTCAAACTTGCTGAGCCATTGTTGCTCATGTTTTGACATTTTAATTTTGAACAGAAGAAAGACATGGCAAAATTATCTCTCTGCATAATGTATTAGCACTGAGAAAAGCTGTTTACAAAGTCTCTCAAGATTCATAATCATTAAGAAGAGAATGCTTGTCTGAAACTCTTATTAAAATAAAGAAGAATGTTGTTAAAAAAGAAAAAGAAAGAGAGAGAGAAAGAAGATCAAGAAAGAGATATTTATATTCAAGAGATTATTGAGTATTACTAAATGAATCATGAGAAATGACAGTCACTACAGCAACTACATTATGATCACAGAGAAGCTGTCACTCTTGTTGTGATCTTACTATCACATCTACATTTAGAAACTGAGATTGAATTAAGACTCTGTATTGCAGTCTTCTTACATTCATCACATCAAAAAGAGATTTTGTACAAAATTGTTACAATCACAGTGAAGCTGTCACTCTCACTGTGATCTTGATCACATCAATGTCTTGAGAATCAAGACTTGTGAAGAGAGAAAAATCTGTAAGACTTTATGCTGTGATCTTCTTACATTCATCTTATCATCTAAAAGAGATTTGTAAAATCTTCTTAATGCTTAGATGATCATGCTCTATGGCATCTGAAGTTTGTAAACTTAATGACTGATCACATGATTTCAATAGCAAAGCTAAACACACAAAATCTGCCACAGACACTTCTTTATGAAGATCAGTGACAACATATCTAGAGACTCTAGATACTGTTGTAGCAATATAAGTCATCTCTCTCTCTCTCATGCTTAGATCTCTTCATAATCATCTCACACCCAACCTAATCTTGTTTACAAAGGCTGTAAGTCATTGCCACATTACCTGCAACCACCCAATCCTCACAGTTTTGTAAAAAGTAGTTGTACTTGGACTGACCACAGACAGAGATTTTCCAACTGAAATCTCATCTCTAATGCACTAATAGAAAATTAGAATGGAATCAAAACTTGAGTTTCAAGTACAGAAATGAAAATGAAACTTAATTTAAAGAAATTGAGATTATTCAATTAGAGATAGAAATTCTCAATTTTTCTAAACTTAAAATAAAATCTTATTTTATATCATTTTTAGTATCAAAATCATATGCAAATGTATATATGCATTTTGACTTGAATCTTCATGTGTCAATTTTTCTATTTTGTCATATTTTGATTAAAGTTGTTTTAGAAATAGAAAAGTCTAGAAATGGAATCAGAAGTATAAAATTTAAAACTGAAATAGAAATGAAACTTTTATTTATATTTTGAGCTGAAATTGAAACTAACTTTCAAATTTTGGAAAGAGATTGAAATCAACTCAATTGAATTTGACTTTCAGTCTTATTTCATTGAAATCTCAAAGAGATTCTGGACTGACTGCAGAGACAGATTTCTCAACTGAAATCCCATCTCTAATGCACTAATGAGAAATTGAGATGGGACTGAAACTTAAGTTTTAAGTACTGAAATGAAAATGAAACTTAATTTAAAAAGATTGAGATTATTTAATTAGAGATAAATATTCTCAATTTTCCTAAACTCAAAATAAAATCTTATTTTATACTATTTTTAGTACCAAAATCATATACAAATGTATATATGCATTTTGACTTAATGTGCCAATTTTTCTATTTTGTCATATTTTGGTGTAAAAATACACTTTCAAAATAAAGTTTGAAAGAAAATTAAAGTTGTTTCAGAGATAGAGAAATCTAGAAATGAGACTTAAAATATAAAATTTTAAACTGAGAAGAGAATGGGACTTTTATTTATATTTTAAGATGAAATTTAGACTAATTTTTAAATTTTGAGAAGAAATTGAAATCAACTCAATTGAAATTGACATTCAGTCTTGTTTCATTGAGATTTCAAAGAGATTCCAACAGTCAGTTTAATAATGTGCAATAGTTTATTAATCTTGAAAATAAACTGCAACATTGAATTTTATGATATTATTGATGATGTCACATATGATGAGTCATGACATTTCATATGATGTAATATCATATTATGATGTAATTTGTCATCTCAATTTATTATTTTTTTCTTCATTAATAATTTATATAAGCAATACTATAATAGTAATCCTATTGCTGTAACTCTATTAGAGAATAAAGTTTGAAATAAACTTTTATAGAATAAGATTTGAATTAACCCCAGAAGAGTTATAGATCAAACTTTATATTTAATCAAGATTTATGTATATGACTCTGTAAATGTTATAGAAGTTATACACATCATAGTATCATACATATGTTATATAAGACAATAGATAGTATATAAATTTGATTATATTTGCATGTTTTATATTCTTACAACTGAGATGAAAATGAAATTTTTATTAGTATTTTGAAATGAAATTGAAACTTATCATCAAATTTTGAAAAAAAAATGGAACAAACTGAGTTGTACTGTTCTCTAATCTTAGTCTCTGGGGAATCTCTATAAGAATTCCCACAGTCAGTCTAGTGACTCTAGTTCTGATGGTCAGTCTACTTTCAGGCTTCAGCTTAGTCTTTTGAGATTCAAATCAGTATAGAAATTCCAATAGTCAGAACTTGGTCTAATATTTAGAACTTTTAAATTTCTATGACAACTTCAGAATTTCTTCTTTGTCCACAAAAAGCCACTCAGATGTTGTGCAGCTCATATTCAACCAAATTCTTTAATTGAGTTAATCTGAAAGTGCAATTCAGTACTAGAGAACCTAGCAAAGAATGTCTGAGATAATGGTAAATGAATTTTAATATGAACAATAATAATTGTAGTTAGTCTGCCCTATGCCCAAAGTGGTGGTGTTGAGACTAAATCAATGCCAAGACCTTCATATGTGTTCAAAATTTCTTCTTTTCATTGTCACATCACAGACTGCTGTACTCACAAGGATAATAGACAGCCAATTATGGAGCATGGCTGGCTAGTGCAGGCTCTTTCATTGATTTCAGTTGCTAAAACCTTTCGTTCGATCAATGCGATAGATACTACTCACCAAACAGCTCATTTGTTATAACTCTCAGCCGACTTAGCCCTTCAGCTAAAAAGGGGAACAACTTATTAGACGTTGGTCCTGTTGTCTTTTCCCACAATAACCGCCGTAAGGAGTACTTTTTAATCTGTTGTGCATGCTGCTGGGGAGTGCTTAAAATGGGACACCCAACGCCTTCTGGCTCCGAGCACTGCAATAATTTCAAAACACCGGGGGATCTATATGGACTACTCGATGCTCAGCCATCCGCGACAATGGATGAGTATGCCGGTCCTTAGGAAATGTCTATTATCGCTTGACGCCCGTTGCTAAATTGTTTATCACAGGCTGAAAATTCTGTATCGGAGAAAAGCGCGTGAGCTTCATCCTGATAGAAACTACTACGGTAACGTGGAAACTTCGACTGTTCTTTTCGCCGAGGTCCAAGCTGCTTATGACGTCTTGTCGGACCCCCAGGAGCGAGCTTGGTATGATTCTCATCTCACAATCAAGAAAGGGGAAAGACACCAGGAGTCCAAATTTTATTGCGGTTCCAATTTAACAACAACGGAGGATATATTAGCAATCATGTTGACATTCGCCCCTACTATGGAGTTTTCTGATCTTCGATCCGGCTTCTTTGGATCAGGACGGGCACTATTCAATCAGCTAGCAGAAGAAGAACATATCTCATGCGCCCGGGAAAACTTGAGGTGTATTGAATATCCTTCATTTGGTAGTAGCGCTGACTCCTTTGAGTCAATTCGATCTTTTTATGATATATGGAGCTCATTCTCGACCAAGAAGACTTTTTCATGGAAAGACACGCATAGAAACTCGGATGCACCTGACAGAAGAACCCGAAGATTCATCGAGAGGGAGAATAAGCGGTTACGGGATGAGGCTATCAGAGACTTCAATACCGCGGTTCGATCTTTGGTTCGCTGCATAAAAAAAAAGGACCCCCGGTGCTCGGTACACTCTTTGAGTGAAACGGAAAGGCAACGATCGTCTAGATCTGCTGCGGCAACCCAGGCATCTCGCTCTCGGGCTGCGAATGAGGCACGGCTGGGAGATTATGCAGAACCGGAATGGGCCCGGAGGGAAAACTTGGAGAATGATATTCTAGGCACTGACCCTGATTCTGAACAGGAGTATTTTAAGTGTCTTCTCTGCCATAAGACGTTCAAGAGTGAAGCCCAATTCAACGTCCATGAGCGCAGTAAAAAACATGTGAAAGCGGCCAAGCAACTTCATTATAAATGTTCGGAATGATCGCATCGGATATAATGATTAACCTTATGTGAGAGCTTCCATCTGGAGGAGATATGTACGAAGTCAATGGTTTATTATCAGGCTCATCCTACTCTCCGTCTCTAATCCTTCCACAACTCGGAGATGCCCTGTGAAGGGATGACCTACATGGAGTCAGATCAACCGGCGTAAATCAGAGAAGCCGCATGTTTTTGAGGGTGCAAACTTCATTGATGACGAAACATAAACATGAACTACAATAATTACTCCAAAGCGGAATCGCGGATCTCTGCAATTCATCACCGAACGACCTAACCCACAAAGCAACCAATTTTTCTACCATAGACCTCTACTTTCAAAATTCAATAAAATGACCAACAAAGCTGCTATTAAATTGGTGATTGAAGATCTGTGCTTGCAGAAGACTCCTAATTATGCCAAAACTGCCAAAAAGTATGAAATCAATGTAACTATGTTGATGTGTCACTTTAAAAACACAAGTCTCTAGATGTGAAGCGGAAGCCATCTCTCTATATTTAAGAAATCTTACAGACACACAGAAAGAAGCTCTTCTAGAGCATATTGACACTCTTATAAACAAATTCTAGGGTCTCCAGGTGCCCAAGTGTGTGGTCACCAGGCATCTTAACTGGTAATTACTGGTTCCAAACATGGATGTTACCAGTGTGCAATTGATATGATGTGGGTTGAACTGTCCCCAGACATTGTGAAGTGACTCAACAGATCTTGGCCTTGTATAATCAGATTAAATTACTGAATATTACTAGAGATATTAGAAGATCTTGGAAGAACTCAGAATGTAGTAACTGTAATAAAACAGTCACTTATAAAAATGCTCAGTATGATGTTGTAAGACAACAGATGACTGTACTTTTCTACTATCTAATTACTACTGATAAGAATCAATAAGAAATCATATCAACAGTGATGTAGATTACATTCATCTATTCTGCTGCATCACTTCAATGTTATTGTCAAAAATATTTATTATTTCATTACTACTGATAGATATCAGTGATAAATAATATTAACAATAATGTAGATTACATTCATCTATTCTGCTGCATCACTTCAATGTTATTGTTGAAAATATTCATTGTCTAATTACTACTAATAGATGTTAGTGACAAATAATATTAACAATAATATAGATTATTTCTATCTACTATGCTGTCTATCACTTCAATGTTATTGAAAGTATTCATTGTCTGATTACTACTGATAGCATATATCAAAATGCAGATATATTATTAATTAAGATATGATTTTAGTATTGACATTCTAATTACATGCTTCTAGTTTATACTAATGTCTATCAGTTGGTCTGCAACATGAAGGCAAGTGCAGAGCTAGCATGAACATTTAATTTTAAATTTACATATAAGATTGATGAAGATGCAATAAGTGAAAATGATAGTCATCATGAATTTACTATTATATGTCTATTAAATGAGCTTCATGAGACATGATACTAACTGTCATTAGTCAGATATTATCAATAACAACTCAATACAATTAATTGTTCAAGATAGATTTTCACAGTGCTTAGCAACTATGAAAATTGAACATGTTCAGTTTCTACCACAATATTCAAACACTGAGATATATGACTACACATATTGTGTGAATACAGAAGAAATGTCAACTGAAAATATTTAGTAACTACATTTAATGATATTTATTCAATGACAGTTGATGATAAGTGAACTTTACTGACATAAACTAAATACAACATAAATATGAAAATTAGAATGATCACACTACATAATGAGCTCATTCTTCATTTCTTGATATTTCATGCAAAGTTATTAAATATCAGTCAAGACACTGCACTTGATATGGAACATCATCAATTCTGAGCCAAATTTACTTAAAATATAGTCATTGAAAAGCTCTTTTTTTACTTAGTTATTCTCTTCATTTTCATCTGGCAATTCACTGTGGTGGGTGGGAAATCTTACATCAAAGACTTAGTTGTCAGTTTTGGCTACTCAGACACTTTATCTGATTACTATAACACAGTCATCTCCACTACAGTTCTGAAACATTGCAAATTTATTATTATTATTATTATTATTCATTATAGTCTTGTGCAGTCTGAGACTATGAAGACTATCTGCAAGCTGTCTTGCAGGATTTAACTAAGTTACAAAAACAATGATCAGAGACATGATCATAGACAAATTAACAAATGAAAAACATACAAGAGTGTCAGGGCAGTGATTTATGTCTTTCCTCCACAGAAATTTAAAAACAAGTAATGAGATTGTAAGTGAGATCTTTAAAGATACTCAGTCTGTTTCATTCAGAAGCCATCTTCTGATGACTATTTCAGTTTGTTTAAGAAACTTTCCCATCCATTTTAAACCCAATTCAGTGTTAAATAGAAACTCAAGTGACAGTTGTGGAATTTTAAACTCTTTCAAACACTGTTGTCTGTCATCTTTCAGACTTAAACAATCCATGAGCAAATGTTTTGGTGTTTCTTTGCAGCCACAGTGTCTGCAGATTTCCCTATCATGATTTGGTAGTCTTATTAAGTAAGAATCAAAATAACCATGACCCAATTTCAACTGAATAATTGTTGACCAAATCTGTTTGGGGAATGAAAGTGAACATGCTTTCCACTTTGGTTTTGAATTGAATTGAGAGTAGTGATTTACATCACTTCCATTTTCAAATACATATTCTAACCATTCAAGCATTGCCATTTCTTTGATTTGTCTCTTGATGTAAGCAAAAGAGACATACTTTTCAGCACAATCTTGTCTCAATTCAGTTGCTTTCTTTGCAGCAATATCAGCTTCTTCATTGCCAAAGATGCCCATGTGAGCTGGAACCCAGTGAAGATGACACTTAATGTCTTTAGACTCAAGTTGTTTAGCAATTTTTCTAATTGATTCAATGTAGAACAGTCCAGCTTTCATATTCTGTGCATTGAGTCTCTGAATGGCAGATTGACTGTCAGAAAACACCCATAGTTCTGAAAAGATTCTTGAATTTGAAAGAGTCAAAGCATTGAAGAAAGCCTTTTCAATTGCAAAGAGTTCAGCATCAAACACTTTCATATGTTTGCTCAATCTCCAAGAATATCTTTGATTTGTTTCTGAAATATAAAGACCTGCACCAGTAGTCAGATTTTCTGACTGTGATCCATCTGAATACATGGTTAAAGAGTCTTTTAAATTGAGAAGAAGTTGTTGATGATTTTTCTTTGCAAGTATCTTCTCTGCTGAATCAATTTGAATGTCAATGATTTCATTCAGACTTGAACTTCAAGGTTTATTTCATTCTGGATTTACTGTTTCAATCTTCAGAGAAGGAATCTGATCTGAGATCATAGAACATAGTTTAAACAAGTGACTTGGATATTTTTTAATTCTTTTTGTTCTTTTTCTCTTTCTTTTTCCAGGTGTTTGTTCAACATGATCCAGAGACAGTTCATTTTGATTTCAGTCCAGAAACTTTCTTCAATCTAACTCAATTCCATTTGAATGTGGAGGAAAACTTGAAGAAACTCTTGTTCTGATTGCATGTTTTTCTGGCAATTTCAACAATCTGAAAGCATAGTTTCTGCACAGCTTATTGAATCTCACTTTGGGTGGAGGAATAGCAGCTTCAATTTCCATAGCATAGATTGAAGAAGTTCTGAAAGCCCCTAGAATCTTTCTTAAAGCTGAATTCTGAAGTCTTTCAAACTTGTGAAGTAGACTCTTTTGACCATTCCACCAAACTGGAACTCCAAAGTCAGCAACAGAAGTGATGCAAGCCATGTACAGTTGTCTCATTGCTTGAAAAGTAAGACCTTTTTCTGTGTTTGAAAGTCTTATTATCTGATTCAAGACTCTTTCAGCTGATGCAATTTTGATTTCCACATGTCTTTTGAAAGTGAGTTGATTGTCAAACCAGATTCCCAACCATCTAACTAGATCTTTTGATTTGAAAGTCAGATCATTCAATGAAACTGAATCTGATTCAGAATAATCTTTGGTGAAGTGAATCAGTTCAGTTTTGTCCATATTAAATTGAACAACATGAGAAGTCTGTCTTTCATACATCACACTGATTGCTTTATTCAACAGATCACAGTTCTTCTCAACTGATTCAGAAGAAACAATCAAATCAGTGTCATCAATGTAACTTGGAATTCTCACATCTTTCAGTTCTTCCAAATTTTCAAAAAGATATGTTGTGTAAATTGAAAAAAGAACTGATGAGAGTGGTGAGTCTTGGGGCACATCAATATTGATTGAAACTGATGTTGACTGTTTTTCTCCATCAAAAATCAATTGAATCTTTCTGATTCTCATGAAAGATTCAATCCATCTGGCAAGATTCTTGAATAACTTCAAATCCAAACAAATCTTCATCAATCTATTCACTGACACAAAATCAAATGCTTCTTTAATGTCAATGAAAAGAGCTGAAGTCATCAATTTCCTAGCTTTGGCAAGTTAAATGTCATGAGTGAGACTTAAAGCAGCATCAATTGCAGAACACTGTTTCTTTCCACCAAACTGATCAAAGTAAAAGAGATCAGTAGTAGTTGCCCAGAAACTGAGTCTAGTGGCTATCACTCTTTCCATCACTTTGCCCAAACAATTCAGAAGTGAAATGATTCTGTAAGACTTGGAAATAGAATCATTTCTGTTTGATTTCTTCAAAATGACTTCAGTAGCTTGTCTCCAAATGTCAGAATGATAGTTCTTCTCAAACAGACTCTTGTAGAGTTGAAACAATCTATCTTTAAGAACTGGATAGATTTTCTGTAAGATCAGAAAAGAGATTCCATCTGGACCAGATGCACTAATTTTTGAACCACTGAAGACTGATCTTTTGATTTCAATCTCAGTGATTTGCTGCCATTTCCACTTCTCACTCTCATGATATTCAGACCAATTGATTGATGAATATTCAGATGGTTTTCTGAAAAGAGTACTGATGAAAGCATTGCATTTCTCATCAAATGTGACTGTAGATTTAGATTCATTATCTGAATC